CTTGTTAAGGCGAACCAGACATCAATCAGTCTACTTAAACCCCAGTGAAAACCAGGGTGATTTGTGGGATGAGTCCCAGACCCTGCCTGAGCAGGAGCTCTGCTCATCCTAAGGGAAAGGCAGAGAAAAAGGAGTTTCAGCTGCCTGATGGTAATACAGGGCTGCTGGCTGCTCAGGAAGAGCTGGAGCATGCACTAACTGACCACCCACAATCACTCACTCTCTGCTAATTAAAAACCTGGTGGCACACCAGGTTTCCCGAGAGAGCCAGCACCTCTTCCAACAGCTGAATACCTTCTGCGTTCTGTAACAAATAAAACAAGATACATCTCTGTCTTAAAACCAACGCGATTAATTTAAGTGTGAAATTTTACCTCTGTTTTATTGAGGCGGCTTCTTCTTGTCAGTGAGAATTCTGGACTGAATGAAAACCAGAGCACACATTATTCCATAGCCAATGCCGCATTCTTTTTTTTTCCCCCACTTCAACTGGTGTAGATCAGTAGTCATACTGCACAAGTTAGTGGAAAAATCACTTGATTAAAGTAGAAGACCATACTCCTCTACTGTCATCTTGTAGCACACTTCAGCAGCAATAATTGTGTACCTGGTGCCTTTTGCACTGTACAGAAAAGTAAAGGTTATGAAGCTGGAAAGTTTTGCACTCTCTCAGTGGTGGGCTGGAATAGCTGGACAGGAGTTTTCCAAGTAATTATAGAAACTGGCTTCCTTGGGAAGAGAAGCCTGAGGAAACTGATGTGAAGGACAACTCAGTTGTACAGCCAAAGGAATAAAATAACTTCTGGAAAAAACAATGTCCTCAAGTCCTGAAGTTTTTGTTCAGGCAAAAAATTCCACTGACCTAGGAAGTATCTGAAATTATGCACTGCACTGCCAATCATGAGAACATGTACTTACATGCTTTATTTTTTCTTAGTTACCTAGCTGAGCTGGGGGAGCCTTACTCACACTCACTACTATCACGCTGTGATTGTATGAACATAGCGCTGTATGAACAAAGAGACCACCCTGTATTCATTTAGGCAGAGTGCTAATTCCTGCAGACCAACAATCTCACTTTAATCCGTGGTTCTGTGGGTTTTGTTTGCTATGATACAAGGTGGCCTGGCCAATCCTAGAATCAGAGATAAAGCTACCTGCATTTTGTTATGTTTCAGTAAAAGCAGAAGTAGGATCCAACATAAGAAAAAAATACTGTAAGAACAGTTTTTAAAGGCTTTAAAAGTTCAAATAAAAGCAGCTTGAGCTAACCTAAATTTGCGCAGTCTTATTTAAATACAGATTGCCTTATCATCAGATGTATTTAAGTCTAGGCAAAAGAATACACGCCTCAAAATAAGGCAAAAATGGACAAGTGCACATGAAGAGTCTATTCAATAAGGACATTAGAAGAAAGCCTAGGAAAAAACCCACCTCATCTAGTAAAGAAAGTTATTCAGATACTTTTTTCCTGGTTAAAGAAAAAGGATTAATTTGCTTGGAATGTGAAACAGGAAAAGCAACTGAACAAATTAAACATCTGTAGCCCTGGATTTGCTAGGGCTCCCTTAAGTGTTGCCCCAACTTTTAGTATTGTGATAAACATGACCATTCACCATGCTGGAGAGAAAGCTCTTCTGCTCTCCTCCCATGAGCAACTTGTTTGTCTCTGCTCTCTTTGGCAGCAGAGGCTTGAATCAAAAGGAAACTTTATTAAAGAGAATAAAAGCAGAGGGTGTTAAGTTGGTTATAGATTCAGTGAATGAAGTGACATAATAACAAAGAGGGGAAGAAAATGCAGAAGCAGAACACAAAGCTGCTGTGTTCCTGAAGCCAGCTGAATAAAGAAAGTGCTATTTGTGAAAGAGCAGCTCTTTGCAACTTCAGAGCCTGATTGAGAGCCCACTGGTGCCAGCAGAAGTCCCGCTCGCCTCACTGAACTTCAGATGAAGCCTTTGCAAGTCCTAAAATTGTTCCATTTAACATTAAAGAATGGCATATTTTCCCTCAAGGTTAACAGAGTTAAGGAGTATTTTTAGTAACAGATATCAAAGTTTCCTTAAAGGAAGCATTTGACAAGACGTGCAAAAAATATTGCAATAGGAGTTTCACCTTTCACACGTATCTATATTGCAGCTCATTACAGATGGGAAAAATAGGCCTCGTTTACTTACTTGATGAAAGAATGAATTTTGATAAGCTTCATGGAACTCAAAACCACTAACATTTTTTTATTATTATAGCCAAAACATGACAGTACATAGCACTTCAGCTCCATGAATAAGCATTTAAGACCAAGTGAGAGATAACTAGTAAGCACATACTAAAGAAAAATGGACCACCACTAAAAGAAGTCATCGAGAAACTATCAAATTGCCCTTTTTTCAATGCTATTCATTCCGCATAATGCTAATAACTGTCCAAAGCAAGCATCAAGCTGGGATCAACCACTGATTCAATCTCTGATACAACCTAAGCCCTTTCTACAAGTGGGAAGCCCATGAGATACCGCTGGCAGGTTTTGAAAGGGAGTCCTTGAATATTTCAATTAAATTTGTGTGCACATTTACATGTGCAATACAGCGAAAGTGCTCACAGTCATAGGATGCCACGTTCTTTCTCACACACGTGTTGATGCGTGTAAACATTTGGTTTAGGTCTGCATGGCTTACATGACTCAAAGGACTCGTGTGGGAGCTGTGTATGGTGGGAAAAACAAATCAGCCCAGACCCATGATTTACGGGGCGTGGGCTGTTTTCATTGGAAAGAACAAAACACTAAAGCAAAAGAATCCTATTTTAACAGGTTTCCACACTGAATGCAGATTCCTGCCTGGATCTGGCAGGCATGCCACCGGCAGACCCAAGACAATAGGAGCACCTAGCAACAATGCCAGCGAGCTGCAGCAAACCACAGACCAGAGGATTTGAGAGGGTAAAGCCGCTTCCAGCTATAGCTTGCTGGGCACATGAGAGGACAGCCTAAACACGAGCACAAGTGAGGTCTCTGCCGAGTTACTCATCTCTCACTAACCACGGAAAAGCCACGCAGCCTTCCCACGCCTGGCAGCCCTGCACACACCTTGGAGGCAGGCATCAGCCAGAGCTCGTGTGACAGGCTACCAGCCATCCCTCCAGTGCCCAGTGATACAAGCAGAACATCTGACCCTTGAGGAGTAACGACTTTATAAAACCCTGAGGATTTGTCCTCTGGCTCAGTCCCATAGGAAACAAAACTCCTGCTGATAATAGACACAGAAATCTTGGCCAGATTCCTGCCCCTGCTTCCAAGAGATGAAGGGTTTTTCAGCAAACCCCTATGCAAGCAATCACAATCACATTTTCCTTAAGAAACAGGGGAACAAAAAAGGCTCTGTATGTCCCAGTAAGGCTGGTGAGCTATTCCCAGCTAGCCCAAGCTGCCTGCCCTTTCCTCCTGACGTTTCGGTTTCTTTCTGACTTTCCTCCCCTTCGCCTGGCCACAGCTTCTGCTTTTGTGCAGGACTCGGTTCCCCATTGTTTCTGCACCTCACTCCAAGAGGCAAACTTTTTCCATATATGCTGATTATCAGAGATTTGGTTCCTGTGTTCCCACTTAAAAATATACTGCCTAAAGTTCAGCTGTTCTTTATCGGACACAGCTCCCTCCCACACACAATGCTCTGCTCCATTATAACGTAAGTTCTGACAAACTCATGGAGTACAAGAACCTCCTGGTGAGGGTGGTATAGATTTTTTCATTTCTCTCCCTAAACTGCTCTACTCCACCTTTTTCCCCAGGAAGAGGATTAGGACATTTTAGCACCAGTATGTTGTTAAGTGATACGCTGCAACTTCCTCAGGGCCCTACGTGCACATGCAGTTTGAGACATAACCACGGCAGGTGCTCTCCCGCAACAGGCAGGACATGTAGCTAAACCCATCTGCAAAGTGCCATTGCTGGTTCAGCGACTCTCCCTCGGAAGATTTTGTAGCCAGAGTTGAAGAGAAGGAGCAGGGACCCCTGTCTCCCTATAGCTCCTTTGTCCAAACCAAGCTGTCACATCCCTTTTCTACCCATGGATAATGGTAAGATCCCTCGGTGTTTAACCGGCGAACTTCTGTAAACGCACCATCTGAAACGGTGTCTGGAATACATGCATAGTTTATCAACAAAAACTGCAATGACTAATTAATCAGATGTTAATCATCACATTTTTTTCATTTCCCACTACAGTTATTACTCCTCAGTTCCTGTCACTTCTGGTATCTTGGATTTTAACCAAACTTCAACCAGCAGTACACTTCCAGGTCTTGATTATAAACTTCTGAAAAGGAAGAGGCTCACCTACAGCCTGGGATTAACAGCTGTCAAAATAATTTTGTCTTGGAAAATTTATCAGACTAGGAAAACTCACGTCTCTGCTAGAAGAATAAAACTAAAACCCAAGAAAACTACCCTCATTTATCCAATATTATTTTTCTGCAGGTGATGGGAGAAATTATTTCAATGCTAGTCTGATTAATAACATTTAATCAGTTACTGTATTGTCTTGAAGAAGTAATACTTAGGAAGACACCGATTATTAATGGAGTTTGTGTAGGATCAAGTTTTCAGCAGCAGTCTGCCTCAACCTGATGAGTCAGTCATTAGGCATCTGAAATGGCAACATGCCTAGAAAGGCAATTTGACATTTAAAGTGACATTAACCTGCAGGTTATCAGAGTTGGAAATTTCTCCTGCTAAATGAAAAGAACTGGAAATGGAACTAATGCATCAAAGTTCAGACAATCAACCCTTTTGTAACAAAATCAGATAAGCATCCCAAATGAAAACAAATGAGCTGGGAGTGGAGGGAGAAGCTAGCAAGCATTTTCCACTTTCCTCATCGTCCAGATGGGAGAAAAAAAACCCCAAACAAACACGGCCCTTCTGCATTTCACTCTTCCTTGGCACTGTTACAATCAGAGACTTTAAGAAACATACTTCAAATTCCTTTCCCATGTCTTTCTTCCACTAGGAACTGGTGTTCCTTCACGCAGTCCCGGCTGGTCACATACATAGAAGCCTGCATGAAGGAGAAGTACATTGTCAACTCCCAACAGCCCTGTCCAAACGGGGCACCAGAATGCCAGAAGATCATGTAAGTATCCTAAATAAAACCAACTGAAGGAAACATTATTTTCTCTGAACTATCTAAATGATAGTTTCATAAGTATTCAATGACACATTGTAAAAAGAATTAAAGCACCAACTCAGTTTAATACCAAAGTGATGTAGGGTCTGATTTATGTACCTAAGGTGATCAGGCATTTAAAGAACATGGGAGAGCAATGCCTTTCCAAGCCATCAAGTACAGGACTATAAGGTAATTAGGTGATTTTTCAAATCTTCCCACATGTGTATTCAGGAAAAAACCACCAGAGACCATACTTTTCACATTATTTTCAGGTCATAATACACATGCATAACTTAAAAAAGCTATCCTGTGTAGGGGAAAAAAATTGCTGCGGACTGCCCAAATGCTTTACTAAGCAGCAGTGACATGGTTTATGACAGATTTCTTCACTGTGTTCTGCATTAGTCATCTAGGACACACTTGGCACCAGACCACTGCTGGAGTGAGTGAACTCACCCCGAGCGACGCCCGATGACAATAACTTCCAATCTAACGCCCAGACCCTTACTCCCCAGGTACAGGACCGCACTGAAGCCAGTCTATCAGGTGAAACAGAAGGTTTTGAAGTCTTTGCAGTGGAAATGCTGCCCTGGGTTTATCGGCAAGGACTGTGAACAGCATGGTAAGGAAAGTCAGACAGCAAGCATGAGAACGCATGACTAAATGCCACTCACAGTGGCAAGAAATAAGTTTCCCTATTCGTTTTTCCTTATTTTGAGAATCAATGCCTTATTTTCCTTGGTCTGCTACGCTCCAAGTCACTGATACCTTGACACAGGGAGTAGTTGCAAGTAAACAAGTAATTAGCTGCAATTAATAGCTAATTAGCAGATAATAGCATTAGCTACTTATTCTTCTGTTAGTAGCACCTTTGTAATCCTTACACACAGATAAAGGTATTCATGTGTCAGGGG